TAGGGGTGCTCCGATTGATCGGCTACCGATCACTATCGGCCGATAATCACGTTGGGATGATTGATCGGCGGTCTCTAAAAAGGCGGATCTCCAAAAACCGATCTCAAGCTGATGACGCTGCTGTGAGAGTTTTGGCACGACATGCAGTGGCACCGTCTCAGTCTCTGTCCGGCACGGGGGAAATCATTATAATGCTGAAGGTGAGGTGCTCATGTTAACAAAAATGAAATTCAGGCCCTGAATAAATGCCTAAAAATCCTGATTGTAGTATCACTATATATAGTTATAAATGATAAATACGTGTTTCACAGTCAACACATGGCTTTTTGGCTAGGTTTAAAGGGAAAGATCACTTTTAGGTAAATAAGGCAATAATAGATGGCACTTTAGATGGTAATAAAGATTTCAATGCAAAAGGAAAGGCAGTAGAGCTGTCTATTTCTGTCAATGGTAAGTTTGTGATAACGTAAGAAAAGTAGTTTAAATGTTTTGCCACTTGCTTGAGCAACTTAATATATAAATCTAGAAGTAAATGCAAAAGTAAAAAGCACTGAAGCACTGTGTTGCTGATATTTATTGTGTTTAAACATGTCTGTGAAAGATTGTATTACTGTACTGTGTAAAAAAAAGAATTGCAGTGCTGAAAAAGCATTTTCAGTGACAATGTTTGGATTTGAAATCAAAATAATGAATAAATGTTGTGTTTGTGGTAAACAGCCACGGATCAGTAGTGGACTCCTGTGTGAAAGCTGCTTCTCCTCTCACAAGAGTCACCTAAGAGGGGAATTCCCCCCATTTTCAAAAATGAAATTCAGGCCCTGAATAAATGCCTAAAAATCCTGATTGGAGTATCACTATATATAGTTATAAATGATAAATAGAAGGCTTTAAAAAGATCTGTATCGGTGATCGGAATCGGCAGATACTGCTTTCTGTGATCGGCGATCGGTGATCGGCCTCAAAAACCCTGATCGGAGCACCCCTAATAAAAACAGTCATGGATCATCCAGGAAATGACACACAGTATTAATATTCAAGGGTATGTAAACTTTTGAACGGGGTCATTTTTATAAATACAGGTATTATTTTGTCTTGTGGAGTATATATAAACATATGTTCTGTGAAATAGCTTATTCAAGACAGTACTAAATAAAAAATAACATGCAATTTTCATGATCCCTCTTATTTTGTGAAAATTATTAACATGTTGCATATTCTTCAAGGGGTATGTAAACTTATGAGCACAACTGTATATAGAGAGACTGGGGCTAGTTGTCTCGCTTTTTAGGGCAGGTTCATTTATTGAAGTCATTTTCTGTGTCGTAAAATCTTGGCTACATTTAACACATTGACCTGTAGATCTGGTTTTTAACACTGATTTTTGAAATATGAAATGCTATCTATCATATCTTTTGTTTATATTTAGCTATGTTTACTTTAAAAGTAAATTATAACGAGTCATAAAAATGTGTTAGATTTGCAAACAAAAAGTAAACAAATTTGAAGGACATGTGACAGCTTGCCTCAAAGTTGCACTTAAAAAAACGTAATCTTCATTATATAGTTGCCTTGAAATATGATGATATCAGATTTTTAGTTTGGAAGATATAATTCACCACTGTGAGAGAGAAAACACATTTTGGTCTTTTAGCCCTTGTGACAGTTACACTATAAAAAGACCTTTTGAAGTTGTAAATAAAACATTGTTGGAGTACGTCTTTCTACTTCAAAGTTTTCCATTTCATTCAGTATTTCTTTGTAATTAATTGTGAAATTGACTAGCAATTTCTAAGTGAAAATTGTTTCTAAACCCTTTTTTTTTTTCAGTGTAGCATTGCTCTGCTCATTGCACATTCTTAAACAAATGTTGTTGTTGTTGTACAAAGTGATGATGACACACAGCTAACAATCTTTTCTTTCCTTAGGTTGAGCTCATTGTAGCCACATCTAACAAGAGTGCCCAGCCAGAAATGGAGAGTGCAAGAGTGAAAGAGAGAGAGTGAGGGAGGGGGGGGAAGTTGGAGAGAGGGAGGAAGGAAAGCGAGCCCAGTGATGGGTGGCTGTGAGTCTGCAGCGCCTGACCCTCCCACACTGGGCCCGGCCCCCTCGCCTGTCAATCACCTCACCTGCCAATCACTTTTGTGCATTGTCTTTTGCTTACCTTCAACTTTACCCACTCCCTCCCTCGCTCCCAGACACGTCCCTGTATCTTTACACCCGTGCAGAGACTCCCTTTGTTGTGCACATGTGCTGTGTGGAATTGGACAGTCTTTGATTAGCACGGATAATAAGGCCTCAGCGAGTCGTCTGTGAAATGCCATGCTTTCCGTCGCACCTTCCCAGTGTGAATAATGTTACACTGAGTCGCCGTCCTCACTTACAGTGTGTAGATTTTCAATATTATTGTTGTTATTATTATTATGATTAATATTGTTCTTACTGTTGTTATTAGTATTAAATACAAAGGCAATTGTACGTGTCACTTACACAATTCACGTTCTGGATGCTAATGATTTTTAATTTATGCCTTTTCTTTTCCGAACATTTTTGGCGAGCATGAATTATTCTGTATATCCAAAGCGGCCTCGGTGATATAGAGAAATAATGGCCACCGTTTATGTACAGGCTTCTCAATGTGATTCATATCCAACCGACGCATCTGTCCATGTGTTTAAATGTTAGTGGACATTTGTTGGTATGTGTGACTGTTTTGAGGCAGATTCTACCAGAGTCTGAGTAAGAACGACGTGACGGTCGGGGTCTTCCAGCTTTAATCGTTATTTCTAGCATCATTAGTGCAGATTTGGGAAAACTCAGCAGATTTGCAAGGTTAGTATTAGACGGGTGTGCCTCACACATCCTGAAAAGTGAAGCTGTGGGCTCTTTGATCGCCCCCTGGTGGCTGGCTGCAGTACAGGTCATAAACCCCGCCCTCTCCATGTAAACGAATGGGACTTGAGTCAAAATAATAAAATAAATTACACTTCCAATACAATTTTCCGAAAGATGATTTTGGTCATTTAAGGTAGTTGTTATCACGCTGATATATGTTCAATTGTTCGTTTTTTGTGTCAAGTTTGATTTTAGCTAGTAATTTGATGCTGTAAAAATGGGGCGTGTCGTTATGGTTGATTGGGTCTGCGGGAGTTTGGGTGGGAGTTTGATACCGCGTTCCAACTCACGACACTCTGGCTCCAAATGAATCTGTACTGCGCAGACTCTGGCTCCAAACGAATCTCTACTCTGGCTCCAAACTAATCTCTACTGCGCAGACTCTGGCTCCAAATGACGTCATTTACTCAAGATGGCAGCGGCCATACTGAGATGCTTTGGCTTCACTTTTATATAGTGGAAGGAATAGGAGATGCGTCGTCCATCTTTTTTAACAGTCGATGGAATTAGATATTAGTGTTGCGCTTTTTAGGATTTTTTTTTTCCCGTTACTACTTCAGCTGAGCCAGCGGTGTTCGGAAAGTGCCCATACAGTTGGACTGACTGAATCAAACTAAAATCCATACCTCAGCTGAACATACAGTAGGTGTACCAGATGACTTCCTCATTCATGCGTTTTCTCGGACTATGGAAAGATGTGGACATCCAATGACATTAGAGGAGTTCGAAAAAAAACAACAACTATTGTATCTCTACGCTAGTCATAATAGAGATTTAAAATTATCGGAGGCCGTTAAAGAGCAGCTGATTAGAGGAACTTGCGAAATTTGTTTAAAAATTAAGATTTCGGTGGTTTTTAACTGAAAGAGTTTTTTTTTTGCTCTTGCGTTTTTTTGCTCTTTTGCTATTTTCGCACCATATGGTATTGACTTATCACTATTACTCATTCTATTTTTGAGAGTTTATATATATTTTGTTTGTCGTCTGTGTGTGAGACTTTTAAGGAGAGTGAAAAATTTGTTACCCTGGATCCTTTTTAAAGTGTGCTTACCCTTTGGTTGGGCAAAGTGCAAGGTGTGTGAAAACTTTCGAAGAATGAGGTTTAAAATCGGCAGCAATAGTTTTATATTTCAGAAGATGGTGAGACGTAGTTTATGAAGTATACGTCACACCTCATGCAACTTTATGCTGGTTTCAGTCTACTTTTAAAGGGTTGGTAATTGTGGTGAACTGACGCGTCGGTGTGACATCATCACCCGGTCATGTGATTTATTTTATTGACCTTATATATTGATTGTGTCCTCAGGTTGTATTTATTTATTTGATTATATTATTGCAAGTTCTTACGTGCTTCTTAAGTTTATGTGAGTTGCACACTTTGATGTTTGAACACACTAGCTTTGAGCCACGTCATATCGATGATGACTACTGATCTTTTGTTGTTATTATTTGAAAGAAATCATCCGAAGCGCCTCTCATACAGATAAAAAGAGGCTATCTTTTAAAATCCAATCAAAATATTTCTCTCAAACAAAGCGACCCCACGAGGCACGTGTTTGTGTGTTTGTGCTCCGGTGTTCTGCTTCTGTTACAGTTGCGTCTCATTCTTGGATGATTTATCTCATTCAAAACTTCACCTGTGTTTATATGAGTCATCGGAGTTCCACGCCTGTCCTCTCCCTAATAAAAAAAAAAGACAAAATCACAAAAAAACAAAACAGCATGTAAAAAGTGTACTGTTCTCTGTGTGTTTAGCAACTAAAATAAACATGTTAACGAGTGAAAGTGCACATCACTATTAAAACAGGACACACAGTATTGAAACTGCAGTTTACTTGCATTTCAGCTGGAATTTCTTTGCATGACAGTCACTTGAACACTAGGTTTGGTGTTATTTATCTTTTTGATTTCATTTTTTCTATTGAATGCTGGTTTACCTAAACCTTTCTCTTACCTGTTTTACCAGCTTTGTTAAGTGCATATATTATAATATTTTTGTCCCAAAATGATGCTGACAATGGCAGTGTAAATGATGAAGACTATAGCTACGAAATGTTGATGATATTAAGATTATGGAAATGGTGATATTTCTACGGCATGCTTTTGTATTAAGCTCATTGTTGTCAATGCGGGGTGACTGATATTTATATTAACGACTATAAGATTACTCATTAGTATGAGACTGCTTGACTTCAGAGAAGCACTTGCAAATCATTTTTAGCTAAATTTGTATTGGCAGTGACATAGTTCTGCTGTTTGTGCTTTGCGGATATTCACCAAACCTGAATGGCCAATAAAACCGTGGATTGTTTCTGACTTCTATCGGTCTTTTATGACTTATTAAACTTAACAATTACAGCTCGGTAGATCTAGAGTATTTCTACCTGCACCGTCTTTTAGCATAGGACTGTTACCGTTTCACTCGTCATATCACTTCTCTGATTGGAAACAGTTCCGGATAGTTTCTCTGAAGCTGAGTTTTCTCACAGTAGCCCTCTGTTAGTTTTGTTTTTTCTGTATAAGATAATATTCTCTTTGATTTCTGATGATTCTAACTCTTGTTATTGCTCTGTTCTCAAACATGCTCTGTGTATTCCCGGACTTAAGCAAATGTGTTCAAAATATATAAATAAATGAGATGATTTAAATACTGAAGAATTGTGTACATGTGCATTCAAAATTGACAAGCGATATATTTTTTTAAAGTGTTCCACTTTTTTAGCAGGCTTGGAATTTTTCTCATTCATTTTTCTATTGCTAAAGAGTTGTGAATTACTTCAAATAATGCAGGCTGATGGCTTATACCATCAATCAACAACCTCGTAGCTCACAGTAGGTCTATTTTAACACATTATTTAACATATTACTTCCTTAACCTGACTGGAAGGTCAGATTAAAAAAAAAAAAGTTTAAAAACAGGCCTGCAGAAGTCATGGAAATAAGTAAAATCATATTTTTGTAATGCAAATGGAAATTGCTTTCTTAATAACTTTTTTATCTTTATTTTTCATTAGCATTTAAAATGCATTTTAATTAAAAATTCTACCTTGAGGGAAAATGAATACGGTTTTTCCTCTTTATTTTTTTGTGAAAAATTTCACCTTTGACATGGAGTGATCAAATGAATGAATGCAAAAGTAATGTAAATCGCTTTGGATAAAAGCATATGCCAAATGCATTAATGAAACCTTTGTAATTCTAGATTTGTGCGCTTTGATTCGTTTGCATTTATAAATAGCCACCCTCCATCTTAAATGGAATTTGTGGTGACCTATTTACATTCTTCACTAATTAAAGTGTTTAACGAAAACATGGGCAATTAAATTCTGCATGTCAAAAACCACGTCAATCATCATTAAATAAATTACACTGTAAAAAACAGCACATACAACTCTCACAAAACTCTAAACGGTGTCCTAAAAATCACATTCTTACAAACCAAAAACTAACATGGCTTTCTATGAATAACATAAGAATCAGTCTGCTTATTGTAGAAGATTTTTATTAATCCAAATAGGAATTAATCAAGTATAATCATTATGAATATAGCCATTTAAATATCCAGTTATACTTCCATTATAATCCCATATGCCTGTGTGTAGAAACAGGCCTACGTGGCAGAATGTACAGACCTCAGATGAGAAACATCTGGGAAACATAAGTGGGGGCCTTCTTTCTTTACCATAACAAGAACCCCTTCTCTAGGGAAATATCGAACTGTATGCACAAAGGAACCATTCTATGTATGGAAATGTATGGAATATATACCCCACGCCTTAAAGTCAGAACTGTATAAAAAGAAGACAAGATGATCATTCTGGAGATGTTTCGCTGCAGAGAGCATCTCCGTTTTATTTTCATTGATGATGAAATAAAATGTATCTTCTGGCATCAAAACTCAAGACTGAGTGTGGTTCCTCAGAAGCGTGGCAGACGACACCACCATTGGCGACCCAGATGGGACGGAAAAGAGCAGAGGAGTGGACAGCCACTTTGGGCTGACTGAGACGAACAACACAGACCCGGTGGCCACCGAATAGGTAAGCAATTTTGCTTATATAATTGGTGTGTGTTGTTTGCCGGTCTGCCCTTGGTGGTAAGGACACTTAAAATCTGCTCTTCCAGAAAATAGAAAATTGAAAATAAAAAATTTTAAAAAAGGGGTTTTGATGCCAGAAGAAAATGTGGCACCAAAGGGGAGCTAAAAAAGACTCACAAGAGATCTGGCGTACACATGAAGGAAACATTGTAGCACCTACTTCACTTTTGAATGTTCTTATTGCAGATGTGCATGGTTTTGACCATTGCGCAAGGAGGGACGTGATAAGGAAAATTAAACAACAAGGATATTGGTCTCCTTATTTATATGCAATGGTGGATTAATTTTTTAATTTTTGTCCACATGTGAAGTTTGTGCCAAATACAATGTAAGGTAAGGGATAGCGACACCAATAGGCCATATACCAGTACCAGAAGGGCCCTACAAAGTAAAAGACATGAACACCAACAAAACCCAAAACCAACTGTGACACTCAGAAATTTCATTTTTGTACTCATGTTGGCGTTGATTTAATGACTAAAAATTGTCAAGTGGTTAACAACTTACAGTAAAAACTAAAAATGAATGACTTTTTCTTGCACCTTGAATACATAGGCTACAATACTGTTAAAAAAGAAACAGATAATTTTAAATTGATAATTTTATTCAACAAAAATGAATATTATTTCAAATAAATGCTGTTCTTTTGAACTTTTGTAGAAGATTTTTATTAATCCAAATAGGAATTAATCAAGTATAATCATTATGAATATAGCCATTTAAATATCCAGTTATACTTCCATTATAATCCCATATGCCTGTGTGTAGAAACAGGTCTACGTGGCAGAATGTACAGACCTCAGATGAGAAACATCTGGGAAACATAAGTGGGGGCTTTCTTTCTTTACCATAACAAGACTTAGGGGGGGCTTCTCTCTAGGGAGAATTGTATGCACAAAGGAACCATTCTATGTATGGAAATGTATGGAATATATACCCCACGCCTTAAAGTCAGAACTGTATAAAAAGAAGACAAGATGATCATTCTGAAGATGTTTCGCTGCAGAGAGCATCTCCGTTTTATTTTCATTGATGATGAAATAAAATGTATCTTCTGGCATCAAAACTCAAGACTGAGTGTGGTTCCTCAGACGAGCGGCAGACGACACCACATTATCAAACATGCAGACAAAAAGCACTGTATTCTGTTATCAGGCCAGTTTAACTAGTCTCTCGCTGGCCTCCCAAAGTTTCCTTGCTACTCCAGAATCACTAGCGAAGGCTCTAAGGTGAGCCGGCTGACAGTCAGTGAAATATCCTCCATTGTGCTCAAGCACCTCGTCTGATACAGCGCAGTATACCACCGTATGCGCCCCAGCCTCACACGAAACAAAAAACATGAACATCACCACCTGCACAAGGATCCGGAACAAAACCGAGTAAGGACAGATCCAGTTACTCTGAACGTAACCTGAATGAGACAAAAGACACAAGATGAACTTCACAATAATCAGTTCAGACAATTACAGGTTCTTGCTAAGGTAAAGATCACTACTATTACTGCTCAGACTTCAGCAACAGCAGAGCAACCTTTTGATGAGAAAGTCAGCCTATATTTTATATCTCGCCAGGGTGAACAGCGTACGCGGTCACTCCTTTCCCCTCCAGCGTGCGAGCGAGCTCCTGTGTGAAGCAAATGTTGGCCAGCTTGCTGCGGCAGTAGGTGACGAACGGAAACAGGTTGTAGTTGAGATCTTGGAAGTCCAGCTTCTGGTACTTGTAGCTGGAGCAGGTGAGATTGATCATACTGCTCGGTGAACTCTCTTTCAGCCGCGGGAGAAGAAGGTTGGTCAGTAAGAAGTGGCCAAGGTGGTTCACGCCAAAGCACATGGAGAAATCATCATCTGTCGGGGGGGGGACATATTTGATGAAAATCAGCAATATTGTGAAATATTATAATTTAAGAAATTTGTGAATGTAAGAAACATTTCTTCTTTTGAAGTTTTGCAGTTTAAAATTTTTGTGGAAATCATGATACACCAGCATTCAAAAAGTTGGGATAAGTAAGATAAAAAAAAAAGAATACTTTATTTCAACAAGGCACTTTAAATTGATAAAAATGATAGCGAAGACATTTACAATATTGCAATATCTTATAATATACTCTGTATATATTTGGAAATTATACAATATCATGTTTTTTTTTTTTACTTGCTATAGTGCTGTACTGTTAGATGTATTATTTATTTATTTAAATTATATCCAATTTTTAATTTATTTTAATCACTTTTATTTACTCAATTTTTGACTGAATCTTATTTTTATTTTTTTTTTACACAATTTTTCTCTAAACTTTCAAGCACCCCCTAATAGCCCCTAGAGGCAGTGTTGGGGGTTAGGCATTACAAGTAACACAAGTTTACGTAATCAGATAACTTTTTTCAAGTAACTAGTTCAGCAAAACATTACTTTAAATTTACAATGAAATATCTGAGTTACTTTTTCAAATAAAATTTTCCATTTTTGTTACAAATAGTAACACAAAAGTAACATAATGCATTACTTTCTATAAAAAGTAACAACACAATTTGTTACTTTTTTTACAAAGTAACCCAATATTGTAATGCATTACTTTTAAAAGTACTGGTAACACATTACTTAAAGCCTTTACGTATAATGCATTATAAAGGCATTCATAATGTGAGCTGTAATGCATTATATCTTTTCATAAATAATTATAACCAAAGTTAAAATGCATTACAATATTTGAAAGTGTGCTTGTCATGTGTTTTAATGCATCATACTTTCTAAAGGTGAAGCAATAATAAGTGTAATGTATTATAACTGTGGTTACAAATAGTCATGAGATCATACATTGCATTATAAGGTGCATTGCAAAGCATAACATGCATTACATGTTCATGTTCATATTCATGCATTACAACTACTTTTATAATGCGTTATTTATAAAGGCTTTAAGTGAAGTGTTACCAAACTAGCACTGCCTCGAGGGTCCCTGGACCCCAGTTTGAAAACCCCAGGTTTAGATCATCAATTGCCACCCGGACATCAATCCTCACCTGCATTATTGATCAGAATATCCAGCCGCTTCTCCTTTTGTAAGAAGGTTTTGCTGAACTCTCTTATAGACCTCATGTTGGCCAGGTCGACCTCCATATGCAGCACATTCATATTGTGGCTCCTGATCTCTCGAACGGCTTTCCTGGCTTTCTCCTCACCCCTGCAGGCGATGATCACACGAGCTCCTCGTAAAGCCAGCAACACAGCCGTCTCCTTCCCGATCCCAGTGTTCCCACCTGAAACATACAGTTGCCATGCCACATGACATGTACAAGAATAAAAGAGGCTCTTAAAAGCAGAGGAGCTTTACACTTCTCAAACACACAATAGCAATGACCTTCCTATAAAGGTTACTCCAGAACAGAGTAACACATGATTCTCATCATTCAACTAATGTGATTTCACTTTAGATGATGGTTTGGCTTTTAATATGCAAGGAAATATGTAATAATACAAATGAAGACACATACAATCAATCTGAATTATTTGTATGACCTGGGGCCTGTTTCATGAAACAAGTTTACCAAATAAGTCAGGCTTATTTCAGTTAGTCTGACTTATTTTGAACCAAATCAGCTGACAATAAGTCGGACTAACTAAGAGGAAACATGGCAAGTAATTGTTCATTTGGATTCAAGGATTGTTCATTTTAAAAACGTATTGCAGCATCAGAGACTGTGTTTACAGACTGATACTGTATTAGCCATACAGTCGCGCCGGTAGGGGCGCTGGAGTGCGCTAATCATGTACGTGACACTCGCTGTAGAATGAGATTGAGTTTACACATGGAGCTGTGTACACAAGTCTGAAGCTCGCAACTATGACAATTTTAATTTTTTCTTCGGGACAAGCTGATGCAGTTATGAAATCTGTCGTTTCAGAAGATCAAATATCATGTGATGTCAAAGACACGCTAAGGATTTTCTTGCAGAAGCTGACAGAAAATGCCAGGTAACTTAGGGAGTAGAGAGATGCATTCAACAATATTTTACTGTTAAAAAGTACTGTTGCGTTATTCTTTTTTCAAGTACACTTTAATTTGATTTGGGATGAGTAGCCCTTTAAGCTTGCTTTGAATTTCTTTGTACAAGCTCTAAATTTGTGAATTATATATGTATTTTATTATTTATATTATGTGTATACCTTATTTTAATTATTTTTATATTTGTTATATTGTATATTTCGTTTTCTTATCATTACTTGTATGTAAACACAATCATGCCAATAATGTACTTGAAATTGAAAACTGAATATACTACAAGCAATATACTGTAATTACAAGAAATGCTATTTATGAAATTAGCTTTAGCATGACATATATGATTAAAAATGTTATTAAACGCAATGCATTATTTGGACATGTCAAGTGTTACCTGGACAAATCTAGAAAGAGTGTGAACACTATTTTAAGAGGTTATTTTTAGTCCACAGGACTAAAAACACCCTTATATTGTTTGTGAATGAGAGCTAGTGTTTTATTGACAGGAGCGCAGGCAAACGGAGCAGGGAGCGCTCACTGGAGGAGGCTTCACAGATCCTGCAGAAGATCCCAAAAGAAGCACTTGGTTCCTTACAGCCTGCTGCTCTTCATCAATTTGTTCAGCTTGTTTTGGCCTTACAGCTAGAGGCAGTGACCTCTTCATCCACTTGCCGCAAATTAGACCAAGTAATTTTCACCTTTACTTCAACATTGCCAACATTTTTTTGTTCCTGATTGTTGGTTTCCCTTAAAACAACACCTTCTTAACTCTGTTTTGCAGATGCTGCAGGTTTTGGCTGAAATAAACTGCTCCATAGTCTTTGAGGATAGTATGTCAATTAAATAAGCATGATAATACCTGTGTTTGAACAATCAACATTTCTCAAAGAAAAATTAATGTAAAATATATTTAAACTTAAAATTTCAGTCAAGGAATTGAAGCTGGTGAACTCTCTATAGTTTTATTGCTGATCTGCAGCATGTTCACATTTGTGCTGAAAGGAAAATACATCCAGCATCGCAGATGTTTCGTCTCATCAACCTCAACTGTCTTTAGATAGAAAGCTCCATTTCTGTAGACTCTCTCTGATCAAGGGACAGTTTGGTGTTGATGTGATGCCATTAGACTCTCCATCTCTTCATGTAATCCACTCTCTCTGCTTTTATCTATCTATCTATCTATCTCTATATATATATATATATATATATATATATTAAAGCATACAAATGCATTTCTGGCCATGCTTTAATTTTGATCAAATTAAAAAAAAATCTTTTTTTTTTTCTTTTTTTGCAGGTGTTTTCATTGAAAGATCTTCAGATAGGTGAGTGTGCATCAGTTCGCTACTACTTTACAGACATCTGTAGTCATGGCTGTTGTGTTGTAATAGCTGTGGTGTGTGTCCTATGGCAGTTTGTATGTTCCTGGAGGACAGCACTACGGGACGAGAGGTTCTCAAAGCAGAATGCAGCACTCTGCTTAATAAAGTCGCCGAGCTGATTCCTGCTGTCATGTCAGATGAAGCAACCAGAAATGGGCCACTGTGCTATCAGACTGTCAAGGTGGAAATCTAGTTATTGATTAACAACAGCTGATGTGAATCTGCATCCTCACAGCTCTTGTTGTGTTGTTCTCAGGTTTGTTTGCAGGTGTTTCAGCTGCTGCCTGGTCAGGTGGCCCTGATGGTCTACAGTAAGGAAAGTGCAAATATGAGTTTGAGAGATATTTTGGAGTTCCTGATGAGCATAATCTTAGGAGAGGTTGGTGCTTGTGGTCGCAACTGTATGTTTGGAAAAAACTAAAATGATTGTATCTAGCAGTCTAATCTTGTGTCATTTAATATTGTTGCTCAGGTTTCCAGCAGAGATACACGTTTGTTGGCTGGCACTGCGGTTGCAATGCTGCTCACCACAGCGACAGACAGTCAGTGTGCAGGATCAGCTGCCTGGAGTCTGCTGCAAATCACCAACACAGGTCAGCTACAGTATTTAATTACACTTAAAGGGATAGTTCACCCAAAAATGAAAATTCTGTCATTAATTACTCATGTCGTTCCAAACCCGTAAGACCTTCGTTCATCTTTGGAACACAAATTAAGATATTTCTGATTAAATCCGAGAGCTTTCTGACCCTGCATAGACAGCAACGCAACTACTAGGGCTGTGACGGTCGCCGTGACAACCGTGTCACGTTGTCTACTGCCACCGGCGGTAGTGCACGTGACGCCACGCACTCTATAACAAGCAAGCATAATACGAAGTTTTGTATACAAGTGTAATAACAGTAATAGTTGCAAATTGTTTTATTTAGACTATAAGACTATGGTAATTCACAAATGACCTCAAACGCCATACACAGTGTTTCCTTTAGATTGGCAGGTTTGAGCACGGGAAAATACAGTTTATTCTGCATTCAGCAAATTAATTTTGTGTTGGGCGATGGACCTTGTTGGGAAATTTTCTTGATTTTTAAAAAATATTTTAAAGGCTGAGGTTTGTCAATTTGAGGTTTGTCACTTTATACAACTCTTTCTATTTGTATTTGAACTGCAAATCATGTTTTTTAAAGTCATTTTATGGTTTAATATGTTACAATAGACATTGCCCTACCCCACTCATACAGTATTTATTTTATTTTTGCAAGGTAAAAAGCCTTAAATATTATTTTAAAAAATCCTGCAGATACCCTGTAAATTCTTTCTTTTTTATTTTTATAATTTATATACTGTATGTTGGCTATTTATATTATGCAATGCTATGTGCTATCCAGACTGGTGGTTTTTAATAGCACAGTAACATCTGATTTAAAGTGAAAAACTCAAGTTTGTGTGTAAACATGTAATTTTTACCACAGTTTAAAGTGCTGGAAAAGCTTAAATATGCACCTTGAAAGTGCTTGAATTTGAATTTGGAAAAGGTGTAAGAACCCTGCTATTTTAACGATGTCCTTATTACCTTCTGGGCCTTAAACGTGTCAGTTGCATTGCTGTCTATGGAGGGTCAGAAAGCTCTCGGATTTCATCAAAAATATCTTAATTTGTGTTCTCAAGATGAACAAAGGTCTTACGGGTTTGGAACGACATGAGGCTGAGTAGTTAATTTTTTGGGTGAACTATCCATATTGTAATACTTTTTTATGTATTTTAAAATATAATTTATTCCTGTAAAGGCAAAGTTAAAATTGTAATTTTAATTAAAACAAATTTTTTTTTTTTAAATCTCTGATATGCTGATTCGTTGCTCAAAAACATTTCTTATTATTATCAGTGTTGAAAATGTTTGTGTTGCTTTTGATAAATAGAAAATAGATTTCATTTGAAAATATTTGCTTTATCTATAATGTACAATTAACTAACTAGTTTGCTTTGATAGTTGCCTGTCTTTTGTAATATGTGAATGTTGTATGTCTCAGAGCCGTGGAGATTGACGGTAGGTGAGCTACAGGTGGACTGTCGTCCCAGACGTCAGGACGGAGTGGACAGACTGGCTGTATGCAGGGGGTTGTTAACTTGCTGCAGAAATGACATTCTTGTCAGTCACCATAGCAACCAAGGGGTACACAAGCAGCGCATAGACTGCTTTTTCTAAGAATGATCCAAAGTGGAACATATAATTACTTACTCTCTCTTTTGTTTTATCAGACTTGTCTTCTCCTGAATGGGTTGTTCCCCTTCGTCTCAGCTCTTTGTGAAGAAAAGCTTGACTGTCATTACTATGTTTTTCAAGGTACAAGCTCTCTATCCTCATGCGTCATTCTGTAGATTGCTGGGTCTGTGCATGACTGCGGTGACTAAAGTTGTATGCATATGTGTTTTCTTTGTAGTGTTTACTATTTGGCTGAAGAGGCTGAGAGAGTGCCTCAGTGAGGTTTGGGAAGTTACTGGTGCTCCTTTAGATTCAGACCTCCAGCAGCACCTTACACAAATCATCTGGAGCAATGCAGAGAGCCCGGTAAGCCTTTTGCACACTATGAAACAGTGTACTTTATTTTAAGGTATATGGGTTTGAACACTAAGTATGGAGTAAGATGGGCTCTTTCTACTTGGGCCGTGTTTTAAAACCACTCAGAACTCCCTAGCAGTTTTGTATAGGCAAGAACCACTCATACTTTCTTAAGAAAATGTTTTGTACGGGCAAGAACCACCCATACTTTCTTGAGAAAATGTAAAAATCCATATTAAATGATAAAACCAGACATTTAACCAAAGTTAATTACAGGAACACATCCACTCAGCTGGTATTTTTGTTCATTACTTTTATTGTAGTTGGATGGTGTTGCAGAGGTGGCACGCAGTGCTTTCTGTCTGTTTATGGAGATCTATGACAAGGATTGTCTGCACTTTGAGAACACAGATAAAAGACTTTATGTGGAATTATTGAACAGTATATCAGAACTGCCTTGGGAATCCAAAGCAAAGTATTTACCGCTTACTGCACTTCTGCCATATGCAGGAACAGACAAGGTAAGAGGAGTGACCAGACACCCTTGTACATTCTACCTCCTTTTTTTATGTCTTTTTAAAATAAATGTTATATCTACTGTTATTATTAATAATATAATATGAATATTATAAATAATATTGTATGTATAACTAATAAATACATTTATTTTTTAAAGAATTTTATCAAGAATTCTAAGAATGTATACATTTATTCTAATATAAATGATAGCATACATTTTATTTAATATAAATGTAAAAATAAAAGCAATAATTTAAAAGGGTCATATGATGCGATTTCAATTTTTCCTTTCTCTTTCTCTCTGCG